ATGCGATAGTCAGAATCGCGTTGCGAATCTGGAAACTGATTTGCGATACCGGAGATCGCGTTGCGAATTATCGATCGCATTGCGATTTAGTTGGTCATTTTGGCAAATCTAAAAAAAGTTGGTTAAAATCATATATTATAAGACATTTTTAGTCACTGAAATTATTTTCTCTTTTCTTTATTACCTAAACTTTAAATTTTTTTAAAACTACACCTAACCTAACGTTTTGTTTTTATTTTTGTTTTTGTTTTTTACCCTTTCCCTTCTCTTCTCCAACTTTGATTATTACTATTTTTTTTAAATTTCATTTTCCCCCATTAAATTCTCTTCTTTTTAGCTTAGCCAGCTTTCCGGGTTTCTTATATAATATAATTTCATCAGCTTAACCCCCAATCTCTTCTGTGGCGGCTCCTCCTCCTCCTCCCTCCCTTATCGCATCATCTTATATCCGTCTTTTATTTCATTATTTGAAATAGTCAATCTAATAACGGAAGGAACTTTTCTTCTGTCACTTTGTTGGGGGAATTTTTTTTGAAGAATCCGCCATGGTTGCGGCTACGCCTCAACAACAGCAGAAGCCGAATACGGCGGCGATGAACGTGACGGTGGCTGGTGCTTCAAAATCATCGGCCGAAGAGGAGGCTTTGAAGAGGAATACAGATTGCGTTTACTTTCTCGCTTCCCCTTTAACATGCAAAAAGGTTTTCTTCCCCCCCGTCCTTTTGTCTTATGGTTTGAAACAAGATCTTATTGTTTCTGGGATCTTGCTTTTGTACTTTGATTAGGGCTTCGGATTTAAATTCCACTCTCCCCTTTTTATTTGCTGCTTGTTCGGTTATTTTTTAGATATTGAATTGATAATAAATACATTTAATCGGAAAAGTAAACTGTTTTGTTCGTGTTTTGATCTGTTTAGAGGTTAGATCTTGCTGATTTATCTTGGTTTCTTAGTGCTAAAGCCCTGGTGAATTTCATCTAGAAATTTAGTGCATCCTTTCCTTGATGTTCCTCCTGGATATACTGAAGAAAAGTGTTGCCTTTTCTCCAAAGGGTTGGCTGTTAAATGATTATTATTATTATTATTTTTTGCTAAATTATTTTTAGTTAGGGGACATTGATGTTCCTTATAATAACTCTTTATAATTGTTAAAAGTATTGCAGGATCCGTTGTTTTATCATGGTGATGTACTTGTTCTGTTATCTATGATGGAATGTTTTGATGAATTGTCGCTAATATCGTCACTCCGAGACTTTCTGTTGTCGTCTGCCTGCAGTTTCACCTTTATCATTCGGGAACTATTTTGTTGTCTCTTTGGATTAGTTTTGAGGTTCATGTTTTGCCATGTGTCTTCATCGATTTCGTTTATGCATAGAGCCGATTGTTTTAGATGGCATCAAGTCGTTTTATAATTTACTTCATTAATTGTAAGATGCTGTGAGCATAGCTAATGTGCTTCATTCACTTTTTGACATCGATGACCGTTATCGTAACTAATATTTATTCTATTTTCAATGTCCATAGGGAAGTGAATGCGAGTATCGTCACAGTGAATATGCCCGGGTTAACCCGAGGGATTGTTATTACTGGTTGAATGGGAACTGCTTGAACCCAAAATGTGCATTTCGGCATCCTGTAAGTTTCTACTCTTCTCTTACACTGATATTATAAATCTATGTGCATGTTAGTCTTACAGGTTCCTGTGGGAGTCTTCTTTCCATAATTAGTTTCAAAAGTGAAGTTTGAAATATTGTCGACAATGAAATTTGAATGTTTGGACGCATGGTGAATTGAATGAAAAAACATAAAATGAAAAAATGTTTTGATAAGATTATATTTTAGTACTTCTCCTTAAAATATTCCAACTTCTCTTCAATATTTGAAAAATGACTATAAATACTTTGAACATTTATTTTTAATAATTAAGTTATATGTCCAGCTATTTCACCCATATTGTGATATATTTGGACTGATTTTGATAATGTTCATGCTGTTTTGATGTTGTTTCAGCCTCTTGATGGCTTGTTGGGAACCCAAGCGACAACTCCAACAGGTTCTTCCAAGCCTTCCTTGCAGACAGCAGCTACCACAGCACCTGCTAGTCATACGCCTTACAACCAGGCGGTGTCTTACAGCACCAGCAAACAACCGGTGCCGTGTATTTTCTTCTCCAAAGGACATTGCATTAAAGGCGACAGATGTGCTTTTTTGCATGGTCCGAGTCCAAGAAATAAAGCCACACAACCAGCGACAACTACCACCGTGAGCGAGCCTCATTCTTTGAAGAAGACTTTTGGTGCTGTTGAAGCACCTAAGCCACAGAAGTTTGCTCCAAATAACGTTTCAAATATTGGTGGAATAGCTTCTGAAAATAGAACTGCTGCAAAAGTTAAAGCTACGTTCACTAGGAGTGGTACTGGAACTGAGAAAAGTGTTTCACGTACAATAGACGAGGAATTTCCTCAACACAAAGCAACAAAAACTACTTCCGTTGTTAATGGTGTCTCTATGGGTTATTCTAATTACTTGCATCAGGCCCATGCTTCAGATGAACCGAGTTTTCATGGTGGTAAAGAAACTGATGAATATTTGAGGGAGTCTTCTCCTGGTTTTGATGTTCTTGTGGATGATGACCTGAGGGATGTGAATGAATATGGCATCGGTCGCTCTGCTGATTATGATTCCATGGCTGATGTTGACCAAGAAATGTTTGAGCATCCACGGGTCTACGATTCATTTGACCATGTGCAAGGGAATTATGATTGGGACCAACAAAGGGCTTCATCTGAGAAGATACCACTAGGATCATCTACTTTTGAGAGAAGGGGTTTCTCAAGAGTTGATAGTCCTGATGATGTTGAGGAGTCGGACCTTCGACATCGTTTGGCTAAGCGTAGGAGGGTTAATGGCCTGAAATCTGTTGTCAATCATGATCAAGGAGTAGAAAATCATGAAGGGGAACAGAATTACCAGGGCTCTTCACATGAGAGATCCCTTAGCAGTCGTCTTCAGGGTAGAATAAAGCTTCCTGGGATATCTGTTGGCCATGGGTCTGATTTACGTTCTGAAAGGGAGGTAGAAAGAGGGCGAAATCGGGGACGACACTCAGCAGGAAAGCCTCAAACCTCTTCCCAAGGAAGGCTCCGTGACAGAATAAAAGGAAGGGTGGAAGGGGAATTCAAAAATATTGAAGGTCGAAATTTTGGTGGCCCATGGATTAGAAGAGAAGTGACGGATGAGCGGAGCACTGATTTTGCAGGTCCAAAAAGTCTTGCGGAGCTGAAAGTTGGGAAGAGCAGTGATAATAAGGAGCAGCAGTTTCTCAGAAAACGAAAGAGCGTCATAGATGAACAAACTGAAGGTGATCTTTCATTCAAAGGGCCAATGCCTCTTAGTGAGATTCTAAAGAGAAAGAGACAATCTGAAGGTGCAGCTTCTGGGAATGGTATAGCATCTGTAAATAGAGATGATAGACAAAAACAAAGCAAGGGAAGCTTGATTAACAGGTCCAATAACAAAGAATCATCAGCGGCACTGAAAGAGGAAAACAAAGACAGAGAATCCAACCCCGCAACTGCAGACATCGGAATAACGGAAGCCACTCATGGTGAATCCTCTCAACCACTCAACACGAGTGAGCATGAGGCTGAGGCTGAGGATGTGATCATTGGAGATGAGGGAATAGAAGATCATGAATACGGAGCAGATGACCGAAGGGGTGAAGATTATTATTACGAGCAGGTAGATGAAGGGGAATGCAAAAACTACGAGGATGGTGAAAATGTGGATGCTGAAGAGGAGGAAGATGGCGACGACTTTGCAAAGAAACTCGGCGTCATGTTTTCGTGAGAATATGGTCCCTCCTCAGATAGACTGCTTTAATCTTTTTCCCTATGAATAATCTTGGTTTTATGGAAGACCTTTTGAAGCTCATTTAGGTTTTGCTTCTTGGTATGGTAGAGAAAACATTTTTGTTCCTGTATCTCATTGTTTTTAAAAGCCGACTTCCTGCTTTGCTCCACGGGCATTTTTCTTTCTACAGACACCATATAGTAAACTTAAATGACAAAATTAGTTTCGAAATAGAGACTCAATTGAAAAAAATATATATATTATTATAACAATTGTCTCTAAATGTATAAAAGTCAATTATATTACTGTTCCCAAGTCGAGATAGATATTTTTTTTCATTTAAACGTAAATTGGAATTGACCTAACTTGAATTGGAATTTTTTAAAAAAATAACTCATCCCTTTAGATCAAATCAAAACTAGTGAGATTCAAGGTGAAATTTCTATTTCTAATTATGATTAATTTTTGTTAAATATGTTTGAATCTAGTTTTACTATTAGTCTCTTTATTAGGTATGATTTATAAATTTGATTTTTATTATTTAATTCAATTATTTATAATTTAATAGTATTATATTCTTAAATTGTTTGAAACGAAAATAAATTTTAAAATAAAGAAAAGGGTAAAGTATTCATTTAGTACCTAAACTATCAATTTTAATCCATTTTAGTACCTACCTTTTTAATTTTTCAAAACTATGCCTAACATTAAGTTTTTGTTTCATTTTAGTACCCACCGTTAAAAATTAACGCGATTAGTACCTAAACTATCAGTTTTTGTCTGTTTTAGTACCTAAACTTTCATTTTTTGCCAAAGCTTAACTTTAAATTTCGAACATAGATACTAAAACAAAACTTCAGGTATGATTCTGAAAAAGTGAAAGTTTATGTACTAAAATAGAATAAAACTAATAGTTTAAGTACTAAACACATAATTTATCCCAAAGAAAGTATATGAAACTAATAACGAAAATGGAGAGAATTGGACGATTCTTGAAATCAAATCCAAGTCTCATAAAATGCTGAACAGATTCAACAGAACGTGTAACGGATTCTCCAACCTCCCGAACGACTCTCAACCAATTACGTTTACATGCATAATCTTGAAACTAACTGATTGAAAAGCCTTTAAATTCCCAGTAGAGCTTCGATCTTTGCCTCACTCGACATTCCGTTGCTTTCTTCAACCTTGAGAAAACCAAGAAAAAAGTATATCCTCAGCCATGAATCCAACACTAGCCACATTTTCATCACCGTGCACCGCCGTTCTCCCCCTGAAATCACTCCCTTCGTCTTCTTCGTCGGCCCCGTTGCTCGCTTTTCCTTCACCCAAGCCCCTCAGGCTCAGGGCTTGTTGTTCTGCAAAGCCTGATTCCGTCGCTCAGAAGCTTCAATCGTTCGCCAAGACGGCTGTTTTGGTCGGTGCGACGGCTTTGATGATTGGGAAATTCTCAGACTTCCCTGCCCGAGCCGACCCTGTACCAGTAACGGTGGTCGAAAGCGAACCTGCTTTGCCGGTAGAAAAGGAAGCGGAGGATCCGAAACCAAAGCAAACTTCATCGCTTTCTGCGTTTCTTGAATCGGGTGCGGAAGCCGTCGAGGCAATGAAGGCGTTCATACGCATGAAGCTCGAAAACCAAGAAGAAGAAGCGGCGGTTATCACCCTGAAGCGCTTGGTTTCTGCCCAACCGGATGTTGCTGATTGGAAATTGTTGTTGGGAAGGTTGTTGGGCGACATGGGTCAAACCGAGAAAGCGCGCAGACTGTTCGATGAAATCCTTCAGTCGGATCCGTTCGCTTACGAGACCTTGTACGAGTACGCTTTGTTGATGGATCGTTGCGGGGAAGGAGAAGCTGTCCTCAAAAGGTTAGAAGGGGTCGTAGCCCTTGCCGAAAGAGAGAAGAAAGCCAAAGAAGCCAGAGATGTTCGATTCATAATTTCCCAGTTACACTTCCTCCAAAACGACTTGGACAAAGCTTTTATGAGTTACCAGCAACTGGCCAAAGAAGATCCGACTGATTTTAAGCCGTATTTTTGTCAAGGGTTGATATATAGGGTGCTTAACATGAACGATGAAGCTCAAAAACAGTTCTCCAAATGCGGCAATCTTTCACTGAGCACCCATCAGCCGGAAGGGCACTTGAGGCCACGTTTATGAAAAATGAAACTGTTCGACACCAATGAGGGGAATCGAGTTTTGGGGGAGTTTAGGGAAATTTTCTGGCATTCTTGTGGTATAGTGTGTTCCTTTAGGCCTTTAAGCCTTGCTGAACAAGTTACAATAACCTCTATGCAAGTTTCAGAGGATACATAAAGAAAATAAAGAGACGATCCATGTTTTTTGTTTTTTCAAATGAATTGGTTGTTTTCGCAGTTTCTGGCTTCAATAATATATTCGGCTTACTGGTTCTTTCTGTTATTTCTCGAGTTCATGAGCATGATTACCGTATGTTTAGGCTTATGCGATGGATGATTTACAGCCATGGGAACGTTTCTTGCGTTCGATTGGGCAATAAAACTTGAATCTGCTGAGACTTTTACAAAGTTAGCAATTAAAACTACACATTGCATCAACTTCAGGCTATAGATTTAACCATCAAGTTAAACAAAGTAGAATAGTAGTTCTTTCATCTACGTTACAAACAGAATGTCAAATTCAACCAACCCTGAACATACCATCTAGAATTTCAGGGTTTGGGTTTGACTTGGCCTCTACTCTTCTTGTTTTTTCTTTCCTTTACTACATTTAACGTTATCCAAGAGGCGTTGCTGATGCAGAAAAGAAGGCGTTGTAGACCACGCCGAATGCAGCTCCTTGCAAAGGGCACCAATTACTGGAATGTTACTTTAAAGTTTCAGCCTACTGCAAAAGAAACAGAGAGTCGGAGACAGCAGCAGGAAGTTATAAATCTGTTTCATTAGTTTGAGAATGATGATTACATCCTTCGAAAAGTCATCTTCACCGCCTGCGGGTTTCTTCTGCAGGCGATATTTTATGCCAGAAATGATGATGAAACAACCAAAAACTACAATGCATATAAACATTACCCTCGATGTTGAAGCATATAAGATACTATATATATATATTTTTTTTTTGATAGAAAGAATGACCTCATTAAAACCCCCATTCATAACCGTCAAGCAACAAGAGTGGCTCAACGGACATTGGAAGGAGGAAAAGAGTTCCTAAATTTTATTGCATAAATCCAATTACAAGAAGAATACAATACCTCCAAACAATCTACACTACAACCTCAACAATGAGCTACAATAAACTACAGAAGCACAACAATTACCAAGCCGAACTCATAAAACTATATCCTAAAGACAATCGACCAACCTCAAGCAAAACACAATTATAAAAAATGACCAAAGTTCCCCAAATACAACACACTCAATGCAACAAAAATACCCCAACCAATTAGCCTATTCCAACTTAGCAAATTCATCTGCTTCCTAGTTCGTTGCTTTCAACACATGCCTAACAATACACCTTTATCAACCACAATCGAGACAATATCTTTAACTATGGACAAGAACAACAGAGTGGTGGCATTAGGATTCTTGATCCAATCCACAGCCACAACACTATCATATTCTAAAATAAGTCTTTGATTCACCGGCATCCCCGATTCCAAGAAAAGCAACAACCCTCTCTTAATTGCCTACACTTCTGCCATAATAGGAGGGGCAGAACCAACTCTCTCAGAGAACGATCCCAACACCACACCTTTCTCATCTCTAAGCAACCCTCCGATGCCACCCTTTAACCACATTCTACCCATAGCACCATCCATGTTCACTTTAACAAAACTAATTGGAGGTAGAGACCAGCTCACCAAATTTGAAGGAATCCTATCAAGATTCGAAACATGATCAGCTAATGAAGGATCCCCACTAGGCTATCAAAAGAAATAAGCACTTTTGGAAATTTTGAGGTAAACCATGCTACTACTCTATACCTTGAGAGAAAGGATAACAATGCAAAATCCAACTTCCCTTTGTTAAATACGATCTCATTCCTCATCTTCTAAATTGACCACAAAACTGCTCCTGGTATGAACCTCAAATGGTTGATCGAGACACAAGGTCAAACCAACCGGAAATCAGTGTAGCAGGACACTCAGGAATAACAAAAAGCTCATCTAATGACATGCATATGAACATTACCCTCAATGTTGAAGCATATAAGATAATGGTCCTTTGTTCTTTGATACAAAATAGCTCATCTAATATCTGTGTTATCGTTTCCAAACTCTTTACTGGAGGAATTTTGTTAGTTTTCAAGTAAATTGCTGATTCTGATGAATATAATGATTTTTTTCTTAACAGGGATTCATTAATTCTAATATTAAGTTCCTTTGCTTTCACAATAATTTTCTATAATTCATTAACTAGATTGCGAAGTTGCAACGATTTTGAAAAAACGTTACGATATGATGTTATATTGACCGCAATTTAGTACTAGGGAGAAGTATCAACTGGCTAGTTCACACGCCTGCAAATCCTTCTTATTATCCCGGCCGAACCAGTTAGAGGTTCAATTTCTCCGAGTTTGATCATGGCAGAGGCGAAATCGGAATCAAAAGCAGATCGGTTCCTGCTATACTCCAACACAATGTTATCAGTACGTCCACCACTGAAGAGGACTTGGTCTGATTGCAGCATGTATGAGAACCAGACAGAGCAACCATTTCTCTGGCACTAAGCCCCTTACTTCCAAAGAGAGAAATAAGCTCTTCAAGGCTGTTATTAACACCAGGAAGTTGACTAGTAGCTAGAGTTATGTTTGCAGTGGTAGAATCCCTTCTTCCAAGCTTCACATTCCAAGATGGACCACCTACCTGAGTTGTTCAAATAGATATATGTAATCGATCTCCGGGGCATCACGGACTCGATCGACCATATATATATAAATGTTTCAGGAAGGAAGATTGCTTACATATTTAGAGGCATCCCTGGCTGCAACAGCTACAATATCTGCACAAGACACAACTCCGGGACATGTTTTCTCGACAGCGGATTTTGCTTTATCAATGACTTTATAACCTCTTAAGGAGTTGTTACTTTGCCTCGCAAACTTTTCGCTTTTGATCGAAGGCGAATCGTCGAGTAAGATCGAGGCATCACACCCCTGGTGAACAAAGCCAAGGGAGCTTCATCATGCATGCACATATTTATCGATCCGTATCGTATACAAAACACTTTACCTGAACGAAGCAATCGTGGAAATGAAGGCGGATCAGAGATGCAGCCATCCTACGCTCCCGTTCGATGGAGGCTCTCACGACGGTTCGAATGGTACTAAGTGCACTCGGGCATGTTTTTTCATAAAACGATGAGGAAAGTTGTGCTTGGCTTTTGCTGCTTAAAACCAGCAGCGTCACCATAGCAGCAACTCGACCGACTGCAGCCATTTTCCAGTCCTTTCACGAAAACGAAAGCCGATTCAGGTTCGATTAGATCAAAGCACAAGGGGTTTGTGGATTTAATGAAGATGGTACCGGCTCACTTCAGTTTATACAAGGACATTGACAAAATTTAGCTTAGCTGATACGGCAAGGTGGAAAATGAAATTTGACCAATTCTGCCATTGAAATTTCCTTGTAATATACAAAATCAATGGGACGATGCTGAAATAGATGTTCATTAATCTGATTAAATTTAAACGACGACTTTAAGTCAATCATGAGTTGGGTCTTCCTGTCTGCATGGTAGTCGTTTATCCTTGAATAGATTTTCCTGGCCTTTCAACTATATATGTAAATTTCCACGTAAAATAAATAAATTGACTTTAAATAAACGTTTGTACCATACGTCGACTTCTAGAAAACGTATGGACTATCTTACTAGTGTGCATGCATGCAGCTTAGAAAAAACGCCCTACAAGTTTGCTTCCCCTTTCAACCGGCCACGCGCTGTTCTGTTGTTGGTGCCCCACTTCTCTATCAAGTTTGAATATTGTACTAGATGAGAAAAATAATAGGCTTAATTCTAGAAGAAGTGCCTAAGCTATACCTCTTTTCACTAATAGGTGCCTAAACTATTCTTTGAATCTTCCAAGTGTCTAGAATTATAAATGTTACCACTTTAAGTGTCCCGAACGTAACGATTGTTAATGGATATGTGTCATGCTCAAGTAATTTTGAGATAATTTAAAAAATAAAAAATAAAAAACTTAGTATATTTATAAAAAAACTCTTTTCTAAAATTTCAAAGAAGTCCCAAATCCTAAAATTCTCAAATACTAACCCTAACCCTAACCCTAATTCCACTTCCATTTCTGGCCACGACCACCGCCTCTGACACCTTCCTTGCCATCTTCATAGTCGAACGATGTTGTGGAGTCGCGATGGTCGTCGTTTCGTCGGGGTAGACAGGGTAGATTTCGTCATGATTTTAGGGGTCTTCGCTGCTATTACGGCGGTTGTTCTTCAAGTAATCGGTCTTCGGTGGAGGCGTGACCAGGTGAAAATCCAATCGACAAGCATGGGTCTAGGGACTAGATTTAGAGTTTTTAAAGTTTAGCGGAGATTTTTAAGATTTTTGAAAACTTTGGGCTTTTTAAATATATTTTTAAGTTCTTTTAAAAAACTAAAATTTTAAAAATTACATGAGGGTGACGCATGTCACTTAACGGTGGAATTTAACGGTCGTTACGTTTTAGACACCTAAAGTGATAACATTTACAACGTTAGGCATATGGATGATTCAAAAAATAGTTTAGACAGCAATTCATGAAAAACGATTTAGTTTAGACACTTATTTTATAATGAAGCTAAAATAATATCGAGAGAGACTACTTTTAAAATGAAATTCAACTTAATTCGATTTTGAATTTAGTTGAGATCTTAATAAATACCAAACGACATCGACGGTAAATGAATTATTGTTATTCCTTGAGATCCCGAATTCGAACATTATATATGTAAAAAAATTTAAGCGTTAAATTTCAAATGGTGAAACGTTACACTATCTTAGACAAATACTTGTACTTATCCTAAATTAATCCTTAAAAAATGTACGGCCCTTGAAATGCCTACCAAAACCCAAACTAAATCAGTCCAATCTACAACAAATAGTCAAAATAGGACTACGTATTGTGGCCTTTCGGCCCAGTTGGCAGCCGAAGGACTTGCAAGCTCTATATACAAAGGTAGCATTTTCCTTTAGACGACCATAAGCCTTTCATTTCATGTCTTTGATTAAAGTCACCGAATGTTACTTAGCCATCTCAAATTTGACTTGATTTATATTAATATGCCAATTGTCAAAA